ACAATGAGGCAGGAGAAGCTTCCGTAGAAGAGAAAGACCACATAAACTGGATGGAAGGCTGCTGAAATTGTTGTGGCCCAGATCCAAGATGTCTAACGATGACAGTTTCTCAAAATCATCAGGAATTTTTCCAGATATTCTCCAAGCACGAGCATTTAGTTCTTCTAGCAAGGAGAGTTTTGAGAAAGAATTTGGAAGGACAACCAACTGGTCTTGTGTTCTGAGATATTCAAGCGGATCTTTTTGCATTTTCAATATCATTAAGCTAGAAAGATTTCCGAAATCTTCAGGTAACACTGTAACAGCAGTCTTCTCCATTAGCAAGTGGCATAAAGACTTCAAATTTCCTATCGAAACTGGAAGTTTGTGGAGCTTTTTACACTCATCCAATCTCAACATCACAAGGTTTTCCAGCCTCCCAAAGGATTCAGGCAACTCAGTAATATTACAACCAAACAAGTTTATAGTAGTAAGATTCAGTATGTTCCCAATTGCTTCAGGCAATTCTCTAAGAGATGTGCACTCCCTCAAGTAAAGCTTCTCAATCATTTTCAAACCATGAATTTGCTCTGGAAGTTCTGATATTGATGTTCCATCTAGCTCAAGTTCGCTAATAGAAGCAAGTCCTCCAATTGAATCAGGCAATTTGCTCAGAAAATGACACCCTCCAGCCAATAATGTCTTTAAATAAGGTAATGAACCTATTGCAGCAGGTAATTCCTTGATTGCGCTGCTATTAATTGAAACTTCCATCAATGACTGGAGATTTCTAATGGATTCAGGAATCGTAGTGAGTGACTGGCACCGCATTAAGCTTAGTTTCTCAAGGTTTGACAAAGATCCGATAGAATCTGGCAGTTCTTCAACTGCAGAATGATTGAGAGAGAGTTCCTTCAGAGAAATCAGGTTTCCCAAGCGTTCTGGCAGCCTTTTTATGAATTTGCAACCATTCAAACTAAGCTTCTCAAGTTTTGTAAGGCGGTAAAGAGATTGGGGAAGCATAGATATAGCAGTTTTATCAACAAGTTCTTTCAAGGAATTCATGCTGCCTATGTCCTGTGGTAATTCTTCTAATTTTAAGCAGTTGGAGAGAATGAGATTCTGAAGACTTCTGAGCCCAGAGACATCACGTGGAAATTCAACAAGGTTTATGCACTCATCCAAGTTCAATTGAATTAAGGTCCTTGCATTCCCCAGCGATTCATGAATCTTGGTCAGTTGAATGCAGCCTTTAAAATCAAGCTTTTCCAGCTTTTTACATCCAGATAAATCAGGACTGGCCTCGAGATTATAGCAACGTCGAAGATTCATAACCATCAAGTTCTCAGCCACCTAAAAACAAGAATATTTCAATCGCAAAAATGGGTTAAGAAAGAAAAACAAAAACATTTCCTATAACAACAGATCCAAAGAACTTCAATGACTTGTAATAATAGTAAAATTGAGAATATCATGAATCATATTCCAATATAATCTCACTTGGGCAAGACCGAAACAGGATCATCCTGGGTAGTTATTAATTAAACATATTCGTTTAAGCTATTTTACAAACTAGATAAGCAAAGCATACCTCGTTCCTAGTCCAACCCCAAACTCGTTGAATTCCACTCTCCGATAGATCTAGCACTGCTAGTTCATGAGGAGCATAATCAGAAGGAAGTTTTTTCAAAGGACAATTTTTCCATTGTAACCACTTCAGGCTAGCAGGAAAACTTTTGAACTTCCCTTTCACTTTTGCATGATTGATTTGTAGGAGTCTCAAATTAACCAATGATTTCAAGGCTTCAGTGTCAAGTATCAGCTCTCCCTCCTCTGCTCTTCGTTGAAGAAACAGCTTCCATTTTTCAATCAAGTAGTCCAGTGAAGATCTCGGATTAAGTGCTTTAACCCAAGAAATCTTTTGAGTTCTGACATAATTCTTCTTTTCCAAGTCAAGGATTAAACCTTGCACATTTCTAGAAAACAAGTCAAGGATTAAACCTTGCACATTTCTTGTTCCCTGTTTACAGAACCACAATTATGAAAGTGGAAATCATGTTGTAATGTAACGAAAAAGTAGAAGCAATCTAGCAAACCATTAAGGTTGATAACATATGACCGTGGACAATTAAAAAAACACCTTCCTTATGTCCCTCAATAAAATTTGTGAAGAAATCACATTAAGGGTTGCATTCAGCATCAAGGGCAGCTGCAATTCTATTAAATTTAGTTTCCACCTCACGTTTTATAGGTAGAAACACAGATGCATGCTCATCTTTCATAAGATTCTTCATGCATGCCCATGAATCACACTAGATATGTGATTCATGGGCATAGCAATATATATATATATATATATATAGACACTTACTAATATAAACAATGACTGATATAGAACAACATTCGTCGCTACTACAAAAACACAGTATAGAACTACTTAGTGGTGTACAAGACTGTCAATAGCAGTAAATTTTCAAGAAATTATGATTTTCACCTTCTTGTGCTTCAGCATTGTCATGATATCGCCGCGATCCCATAGCCTACTACGCATACCAGGATCTAAAAGGTTTTCATATCGAACAATTTGTCTTCCCATGTCTCTAAGTTGATCATGCATCCATAATTCGTAATCTCCACCAATTTTAATGAGACATCTTACTGTCAGAACTGTGATTGCTGTCTCAGCCCTAAAGCCACAACCATTCAAAATATCAATAGCCTCCTCTCTCTTCATCCTCATTTTAATAAACAAGCAAGCAATGTCAAGGAATACACACTTCTCTTCATCATCCAATCCATCAAAACTTATACGTAAGACATCCTGGAGATTATGATGTCGAATTTGTCGCAATTTTTTCAGGACATCTTCCCATTTCTTTATCCCTCTCTCATTAAACAAAGTAGAGCCAAACACTTCCAATGCCAGAGGAAGTCCTCCTGTGAGAGATACAATCTCCTTCGATATATTTAGATACTCTTCTGTGGGGTTATCTCTTCTTAGTGCGTGATAACTAAAAAGTTGTAAGGCTTCCGAGGAACCTAACTCTCTAACCTCGTAAAACTCGTTCACAAGATGTTCAACAAGAACATCTCTGTTTCTTGTGGTAACAATAACTCTACTTCCTTCACCAAACCAATCTCTCTTTCCTGCTAATACATTCAGCTTGTTTACATCATCCACATCATCTAAAACAACCAGCACCCGCTTCTCATGACACAGCTCCTTAATTACAGCAATACCATCATTAATATCATTTACAGGAGGCCTGTCTGGGAAAAGATCACCAAGAAGCTTGTTCTGCAGCGATACTAAACCACCATCTTCTTCAGAAATATCTTTAATGTTTGAGACGAAACTGCGACTTTCAAAATGACCAACAAGTTTATTGAAGAGAGCTGCGGCAAGAGTTGTTTTACCAATCCCGCCCATTCCATAAAGTCCAAGAACTTTTACGCGATTTGATTTATCATCTGTGAACCTCGTCTTCAACTTTTCTAAGCGGGAATCCAGTCCAACCGTATAAGTAGCAATACCTACCGGGGTTTTTCTCAATTCTTGCGAAACCCTATTGACCAATCGCCGAATCAAATGATCTTCTCCGCTGTAACAAGCAAACACAATGATAAAACATTAGTAAGGTTAGCTATGTTTTTTTAATAAAAATGAGGTGAGAACTTTACATAAGTGCTATGATAGTAATCCCAACGAGTTGCCGTATAGGCTTTTGAAAACTGCATGTCTGAAGGCTTCTTTTAGCGTGTAATGAGCACCTAAAGCTGTAACAGACTTCTGGCTACTTGGCACTTCTTCGTATAGGCTTTGCCATTTTAGTTTCTTTTGATAGTGAAATGACTTGATTCCAAACACACACACACACACACACAGAGCTGGCTAATTTGCAAATTTCAGAATTTCTGAGATGATAGTAGCTTAATTTCAAAGTTTGCTTTATATGCAAGTCAATTTAACTAAGTTTGTTAGCTAGATTTATAAGGAAACTCATTTCTGAACTTGTGAAACATAAAAAGAGAAAGAATTTATATAAAATTTCATGAAATAAAATAATTTCATATATGGTTATTAACTTTATCTTTACTAAATAAAATTTAATAATCATTTAGTAATAACCTAAGTGTCTGTAATATGAACAACTAAAACATGAAGTTATATTTTGTACAGAAATAGAAGTGATACATCATGTATTTTTTTTTTTTTTTTTATTTGGATGGCATATGATATCCATATTGTGATAAGTTGCAATATGAAAAATTACCTATCCCTAGCCTATTATAAAAATTTACCTATTTCAAAACCTATTATTAGAAGAGAGATCAACAATCCTTGTTTGTAAGAAATTCTTCTTTTGTTGACAACAAGTGATTGACTGTGTGATGAAATATGAGTAATGATGCTAAGAACAATTGATCTTTTAGAATAACTTTTTGCTAACATTTTCCTACAAATGAAGTGGTATTTACTATAATTCAAATCATGTGGATTTTATCAGATATAATGGAAATAAAAAATAATTACAAAAAGAATGATTAATGAAACACCAAGCATAAGGTCCTCCATCATTTATTAGTTAAGAAATTTTAGTTATATATCTAGAATTATTCCATGACATTCTAGTACAAGAATAACCATATAATAATAATAATATCAATAATATTTCTTCATATACTTCTAGGAACAATTTATTAATTCCATCCGGCAGTAAGATCTACTCAAATCTATAAAGGATCGAAAAAGTATGATATTGATGTATGCATATTGATCTAAATTGATTAAATAAGACAATTAATGTTCGCATGTGTGATGAATAGTGTTTAATAGAAATTAAGCGTTGAGAAGATAAGCGAGATTATGATTGAAATTATTGTTTGTTGAAGAAGAGAATTTCTTGAAATCTTTGCAAATCAGTGAGACAAAAAGAAAAGGATGCACACGCACATAAAGTTTGAAAGAGAGAGGGAAAAAGGAGGAGGGTGGAGATTAATGTTTGTCTTCTAGCTTTTTTTCAAGCCTGCCTGTTCCTAGGATTTAGCCCTATCTATGGATATTTCTTGTCTATGTATGAACAGTTTGATACAAAATAGAAACTGAGAGGGAAATATCATGGCTCTTTGTCCCTATATAGCTATTCCAATATGTCTCTAGCTAGATTATGATCTTGGTAAATTAATTTAATAGTCTTTATAAGACTTCTCGTGATGATGATATGAATGCTTGAAAATAAATTTATTTAAGAAAATATCAATTCTTAAGAAAGAAATCTTGTGTAATTTTAAATTTCGAGATAATTAACATTAATTATTCTTTAGTTTTAGAAGATTTATGTACCCTTTCAATGTTGTCTTATAGAAAATTTGAGATACAAGAATTGCTTATATTAAAAAAAAAAACATGATCTTGATATATTATTACAAGTTTTTATTTAAAGACTAAAATGCTGGATAAGAAACAAGTTTCATATTTGTCTGGCATTATATTCTATTTTAAATTTCAATGATTATTATATAATATAAACAAATTAAAGGTACCTCATCAAAGAAAAAAAAAAGTTTGAATGCGTGAATTTGAGACTTAATTTTTTAGCTTGTCATGATTAACATGAGCTAAATTTGAGTCTTGAAAAAAATTAGATGAGTCAAGTTTGAGCCCATGTTAATTATGTTTTGTTATATCTAGAATGATTGGTATATTTTGTTACATTAAAAAAAAAAATCAAAATAAATTTTATTTTACTTAGAATTTCAGCTCATTCTGTAAATTTTATCTAAATTCTAACTAAAAGTTGTGCTTTTGTTTTGTTACAGTAAAATAATGTCTTTTTTTTTGCTTTATTTTAAAAAAAAAAATTCTAATTTTATAATATTAGTCATATCTGTTGGATCTTTTAATCCAACAGTTAAATGAAACTAAAATCTTAATAGAAGTCTCTTGACTTATTATTATATCTCAAGTTAATATTTAGAGCAATCAGAGTTTAAAAAGTCTTTATAAGACAACCGATAACATTTTCATAATTTTACTCAAATTTATAATGTTATTTTAAAAGGTTATTTTATTATTATTTTTTTAGTTTGAATTTTTCTCAATTTCATCATTTAAAAATAAATTTATTAATAATTGAACTTTATAATTTATTTTGATTTGCTTTATTTGAGGTTATTATGGTCTCATAATCTAAGGTACGAATTTAAAAAGTTAACTCAAGTTGACTCAAGTTAATTTAATATGTTGTCATTTGAATATTCTTTTAAAAAAATATATTTCATCTTAATTTTTTTAATTAAACTATATTTTTATTAATTATTCAGATTATCTTTGAACTCATTAAGTTGATTGAGTCATATCGGTTTAACTCTTATTTTCTTACTTGTATTTAAAATTTAAATTGTATAATTTCAAGTTAATTTGTATATGGATTTAAATTGAAATTATATTTATTAAATATACATACACAACCCCGAAATCACATGTAAAAATATTTTGAAATTATAATATATCGTTCCAATTAAAAAAACAGAATCAAAACTATAACGAATTAACAACTTTGCATCAAAGCTCAGCTTCATTTATTTGATATTCTAAGCTTTATGTAAGAACTTAAGGACAAAAACCAAGGGGCAGAGCCAGTGGATACCCCCACACACGCCTTATCTAACATAATATATTTGATACTTCTTCTTACAAACCTCTAATTTAATTCTTTTTAACAGAT